TAGTTTATTACATTGTACACATAAAACGTGTTTCATAGGTTTTAATTTTGTATATTTAGATATGTGACAAGAAATCCACATTTTCATTGTTTCACTAACAAATCGTTAATTGATATCTGTCAATGGATATTTGGTCAATATTACTTAATATATAATGCGCGACATTGTGAACTGTAGTTTACAGTATTATCCATCAACGTTGAGTACAAAGGAAGAGACACGAATCATTGAATTTCGAAAATTTCCTAATGGCACTGTATTTATTGATTTACCAAATAAAATATGGTTGACGAAATCTGCAATCGTATTTCGCATACGAAATATCCCTTTATTATTCTTTTGATTGTAGCCCAACTTAGATGTTTTACGTTGATACAGCGTATGAAGTTAAACAAGTTGTATATTTGCAGTTCAACATTGTGCTATTTTAACTGAACATAAATCTTATCATTAGTTCACTTAAAATGAGGGCAAGCGATCTCATTTTTATATGATTGGCTGAAAATCATCCTGTCAGTCTACTCATATGATGTGATCCATTTGATTACATGCATGTACTAGTACAGTGACTCACTTTGAAATCCATATTGATCTTGTGTATATTTACATGAAGAAAATCTACATACATATAATGATATTAATAAAATGTTCTTCATGAAAGTCAGATTCAATGGATGAGATGTACTTATCTGCCTACTGGTTGCGTCGACTATCATTCTTTTCATACACATTGAATATCGTTTACTTTCAAGCTACGAACAAATGGATAATTTTTCAGCAAACAGATCTCTTTACAACAAACTTGTTATCAAGCTGTATTTTCGTACATATATGTAAGTGAACAGTTTTGTACTTAAAGCACCGGTTGCATGAGGACATATGAACAAGAAATGATCTTGATGTTGCAAGTGAAAGATCACAATTCTAGATCACGTAAAGTGAAGAATAACAATGGATTTCATAATCTTGTAACAAATCACAACATGAATGTATTAAGATGATTAAAGTGTTATTATCAGTTTGAAATTATTAGATATATTTACATAAGTAATTCAACAACAATATACAAAGAGGCTATCAATGAACTCATATATGACGGGAAGTTGATTATCACAAAACCTGATCAAAGTACACGAATTGTTCCCCTTAGCAAGAATGAATAGATTTACAAAATTAATTACATCTTGAATGATCACAAGGACGTCCAGAAACTGAATTAAGAAAACGATGACAATTGTAAGAGGGAGAATGATTTGGCCGGATGACTATAAAAGCTCAAAGATCAACAGATGATTCCATCAATCATATACAAAACAGTGAGGGCGGTAGGTTTCCATTTATCTGCGTTATAAGGCCTACCGTAGGTACACAAACTGGATGTCCGATGAAGATCATTCACGGGAATGCAACATCGAATTAAGATCATCTAAGGAAACGTAAGATTCCTCATATCATTCTGTAGCAAAGTGGTTAGTTAACATTTTGAAACCACTCAACAAACACGTCGAGAAACATAGTATTGAGGGAGCATTCCAGTTCGTCGATAAGATCTAGATTACAAACACTAGAGCTCAAACGATAATATCCCTAAAAGTAACGTTCAAACTGTTAAACTTTCAACACTTGACCTGGTTTTCGTATAACACAGAACTACCATATTTAAATCGGTTGCCTTCCGATACCTAGTTCATGTCGGCAATTTTGCTTGTTTGATAATTGACCAATGTATAGAGTGTACCAGTCCCTGTATATAATCACAGCGATTGCCTGTGTGATATTAAGTACATTTCTTTGCAATATCAGTTGTAACTTCACAAACTTTCATCTGATATTACTTAGTCGTTTGTTTGGTTGAACGAGTCATGCACGTTATGGTAGTAAATGAATGCTCAAAATCAATGGATCTGTAAGTCTTTAATATTTGATGCTGGTTAAAATCATTTTAATGGACTCACCTAGCTGAATGCTCTCGGTCACGGATCTGTACCAGAACACTAGTGGATACACTAGGCTCAACATATTCTACAACCGGTAGTCCACTCAGATCAGTCGCTTATCGATATGCCAATAGTCTATCGAATATATATCGTTGAAACTTTGCACTTCTGACTTCTGATTTCACTGATTTGGCACGTTTCGATCATCAAAGTTGTGACGGGTAAGGTGCTGTCAAACGACAAATACTTCTGACACGTTTAACTTTTAAAGTAAACGTAAACATTGCTACTTGGTTGTATACTAATCTCACATAAATTGATAATCTCAGTCAACTGAGTTAATTCACTTTTCACTTACTGCTGATTTTCTCGAATTTCAGATAACACAAATAGAAAATTACGCAAAAGGAAGAACAACAATACAAATGATGATTAATTTCCAATGACTATTCGACAGAATCGCTCATTCAAACTCAACAACGTTATACAACTAACATTTACGAGCATTACAAATACACTTGCAATTCCAGTTGACTAATGATTGCCTGTTGGTTTGAGTTTGTGAACACCGATTGATGGTATCTCCAATGAATCTGGATCAAACTGTCATTCCTCCAGGTAGTTATGAATATATGCGTGTATACCAAAACGAGATATTTCAGTCAAATCTTAAACCGTTGAATCACAGTTCCGTTTTTCACGGAAGTTTGGCAAATCAGGTTTCAGTTCTCCTTGAAAGTATGCTTTCAATGTAACGTTATTTGTTTTGTTCTCCTCATGTCTATGAAGATATTTTAAAGATAGGCACCACATACTTATTCTTGATATTATCTGCATTTCTATTGCTAATTCTCATAGTTTGTACATTGATCACAATCGATTGTATAATTTGTATTAAACCGCATGACCTTGAACTCACTCGCTTCTGTTTTCAACCGTTCATAGCATGATACACACTGTTAACTGCTCGTAAATACATTACTATACACACATCTTTCGTTTTTCATTACGTGTAGTGATCATAATTGAACTCTAAACTGTCTATTGTCTACATTAATAGACTGTATCCATATTTCCATTATATTGTAAGTCCGGTTATTTTACTGACATCATAACAACCTCGTCGTAATTGTTAATTATCCATAATTGTAGATTGTGATACCACATGCAACTTGTACATGCCAAAGTCTGCTTATTAAAGTAACATCCAATAAACTTGATTTGTCTTTATGAATGGTAACCGGTATATTATAACATTAACGTTTGAACGTATTGACGTTATTGTCATTTTCGAGTTAATATAATCTTTGGTCAACCACAGTATGAAAGGAAACACATTGAGTGATAATACAGATTTGAATATCATGTTACACAGAATAAAATTTTATATGATGGACAAAAGAATATTTTCGAACAGTTACCGGAGAAGTTTATTTCGAAAGTAGGATTTTGATCCTGTCTTTGATGATCAATAAATATACCTTCATGTTCCGACAGTTCGTGTTATACACCAGCAAAACCAGATCCATTTCGTTTTGAATTGAGTAGATAGAAGAATATTACTGATTGGTAATTTTGAACATGGTGTTTGTTAAATTACATTTACAGATAAATATATACATATGAAGTATGTCGAACGTCAATGGCTTTAGATAGACCTCTAATTAGAACTGCATCTGATACATCAATCTAATCTTCAAATGTAGTGTTTTTAGGATCCGTGAAGTTCAATAGAATTAAGTAAACGAAATCACCTGGCTGTATGAAAGTTGTTGGTGTTGAATCCTCATTGAAATCAGATGTCATTGTGTTATTGCCTATAGTCGACAACTCGGTCTCATCATTTTTTGACGAGTGTTACTTCATAGCGTTGAAAGATTTGAACAATGCCACAACAGACTAATAAGACTTCATTTTACTGCCGATATATGGACAACAAGTTTATGCTTTATAATGACTGTACTGGCTTGATAGAAACACTTCAGCAGTTCAATAAAGTTCAATCGTCCATATAATGCACATATGAGAAAGAAAATGGAGGTACAATAGCCTTCCTAGACACTCCACATACGAAAAGAAATGACGAGTCATTATGGAGAAACAAAAACAAGAGAACCATTTGGACTTGGATGATTCAGGTTCTGAAAATTTTGTTGATCATTCAGTCGGTTATTCATTCTGTCAATGTAATCATTTATGCAAAATATGACGGTTTCAGCTCTATATTTGCTTACCATGATAATCAAATTCACGTCTGTTATGTGTTCATTGATAACCTCTTGGGGTTTCTTACTTAAAATACTTCCGTCATTATATCTAATATTCTTAAACTGATCGAAAAATTTCAATCATTTTAATACATTCATGTAGTGATCCGTTACTATGTTTTCAAGTTCACTGTTACTATACACATTACGTAATCTAGTATAATAATCGATGTACATAAAACGACTGATAATCAGTTTCCAGGTAAACAGGATATCAATCATCTTAAGTTCATCACCGTTTGACTTTACTGATTGTATCATGAACTACAAGAAACCCATTAAAACATTCAAAACTTGTAGGTAGATGTGTGATATTTATTGATAAAACTACTTAACACAAACGAAAATAATTATAGTATGAATAAGCGCTACATATCAAGTTGTCCATTACTCCTATAAGCTCGGTTTGTTTAAGCTGGCATTTGATCATCCGTATATGTTGAAATGGTGAATATTTCGATGGAACCTGGACCAAATCGGTTTTCCGGCGCATTGCTTCCTCCATATACTTTTATTCCAATACGTGATGTATGAGATAAATTTAGATGATTTGAATCAGATTTCGGTGTTCCACGAAAGTATGCTGAGAAGTTTTTAAATGGTATTTTCACTTTTCCCGTATTTCAGGTGTCTATAAATATTTCATAAAAAACAAGTTGAATTATTCTACACAACTGAATATCTCATTACCTCGAATCGCGACTCATGTGATTCACAATTTCGTACATCCGAACATTCGCCATAGAGTATAAATTGGAATTTAGAATTTACACCCTGTCTATGTAGATCAATTACAACACCTGTATATTTTGAAATATCCGGAGTATCCAATTGCCTGTAGACACCAGCGAAACTCGATCCATTTTCTCGTGGATTGAGTAGATAGAACAATAATGCCGATTGGTAATTCTAAACACGATAATGTTAGTTACATTATATTTATAAGCAACATTTACCGTTCCATTGAGTGGTACGATTGTAGCTTTAGACCGCCCTCCGATTAGAATTGCATCTGATACCTCAATCCAATTTTCAAATGCAGTGGTTTGGGGATCAGTGAAGTTGAATAGAATCGATGTTGGTTCTAATGAATTCTCTTCCTTAGCATTGTAAGTGTTGAGCATTTCAGTTGTAAATATTAAGACGACAACAGAGATGTATTTCATTATCATTCTGAATTGAAAATGTTTAGAATGTAGTTGAACTATTTATCTGTAAGATAAAATAGAATTAAGATTGGAGTTTATTTGAAAATGTGCTATCAACATAGGTTGAGATTGTGGCGCAATATCGCGGACGGTTTGATGTTAGACATTGAGACCGTTGAGAATTGGATCAGTGGTCTAGAATTGGAAATTGTGAGCTCAATCGTCGTTTGTGGCTTTGAGTTGTACCTGTGTGATCGTTGACGAACACATCACTTCCTAATGTGAGTTATGATAAACGCTTATCGGTGTCGTTGTATCACTCTCATGTTGTTATCGGTATGATGTCGATAAGTTCTAAATCCATTATATAACTACGAAAATAGAGTGCATTGGTATGTGGTTTGTTATTCGACTGGATTCCATTTAAAAATCTAAACGGTTAGAGCCTGTTTAATTAGTCTATCTGTATATGTTTGCGCAGAATATCACTGTGATTTCCAGAATAATTGCATTCGATGTTACTTCTACACTGTTCTATAAACTTTTGTTATATCGTATTGGGTTACTGCTTTCTCACAGTACGACCCTCACCATATTGCGTTCCTTGATGTTTGATAGTCCATATTGCTTTTCTACATGTATAAATTGCAGTCTATAACTCGTCCGGTGATAAACCCGTCGGCAGACATGAATACATTATACACATTCCACCTTCCTTCAATCTTATTAAGAACTATGGGATCATCTCGTAAAATTATTTACAACGGTAACCAAACTATACAATCGGCTCACGTTTATGTTGACTTGATGCACATCAACTGAAGTGCATTTATACAAATTTGATAAACACTGGAATCCAAATTTATACTAAATGTTATTGTCATCATTTGATTTGTGCTCCAAAGAACCACCGACCTTGCTACAAGCATTTTACCCAATGCCGTTTGCATCACTAGATTTTGCTTAGATTGCATGGTACAGATTGCACTAATGAGATGATAGAAACCAAACTCAATGCCAAATACCATCAGATGAATCATCAGTATTTTGAAAGGTCTGTAGAATAATGGTCTGGCTGTGTATATGTACCAAGATACTACTAGACCTAATCCGAAAATTGTCGATTTGTGACTACATAATCTATACGATTGTTCGTGGAAGTATCTCCATAGCTATCAGCGATAACGTCTAACAGTCCTGGAGACCACATTTGAGCAATGATGAATACTATAAAGTGAACTAAGAAATAATCAAGAAGTTATTAAGGCTGACCACACATTCACAACGTTATGTTATAATTAACTGTTTCTATTACTGTCTAATTATACATCAGATTGAGTTCGTGGTTTAGAGGTTAGTTTCAAAAAGATAATGAAACACTAATTGAACCATTTACATTTGACTAACTTACCTTTACGTTAGAGTATCTTCTCTCTTCAACCGTTCACATACTCCCTTGCTTTTATACTTTTACTACACAACGAGTTTGTGAGTGTCAACCAATCATGATATCATAAATACGATCAATTGCAGTAGACGTGTAAGTCAATAACGCATGACAAAAATAAGAATTTAAATCAAGAGTAATTAATTAAAAATAACATGGTGTTACTAGTTACATACACACGCAGATGTGGATGAACACTCATCTATCAGATAAGGGTTAATAATAAATTGTGATGTAATTAACGTATTATAAATACAGCAGTCGTTATTTTCTGATACTAACATTTGACGATAAGATTTTGTGGAACGTGCCTAATCTCTATACGTCTAATTCGATGTCCGACAATTTGTGTAGTTAAATACAGTCAGTTTACGGAATTCAGACAATGAATAATGAAATCTGTGAATGAGAATAAGCTCTACGATATAGTTTGTACAGACAAATGTGACTATTTCGTTGTAATACTTGTGGAATTTATCATGAGCTTCTCTATAAGGTATTAAAATAATCGCCCACAATATTTGTTCAAAGACGTCACAATGTTGAACAAATAATGTCTTACCTTGATGATTCATAGAATTAGTCACTTTGAGCGACATCCACAGTTTAACTGAAGGAAGTCACCAATTATAGAAAAAACTGTGAGAAAATAACTCGAGACAGAAGCCAGTTTTCAAAGTGATTGTCATCCATTATGAGAAAAATAGTAAGAAATATAAAGACAAATGAGATAGATTTGTTGCTCCAGTGACGGTTTGTGATTGCTGTACAGACTGATAAGTGATGTTTACATGAAGGCGTCCATGATTCTTATACACAGCACAGTATTATCGCTTACCTGAGTGAGTGGTGATGAATTAACGATCACTAGAGTATGTATTGGATAGATGTGAGAATTACTGATTCCTGCGTTACATCACGGTCACTGGCTCTATTTGTGATGATCATAGTGATTTTCAATTGGTTCACGTTTTTGAATTATGTAAGAAGAAAGCAACAGAAAGGTGTCCTCATCAAGGTTGGACTTGATAGTTTCAAATAAATTAAGCGTTTTGAGGAGAGGTGATAATAGTTATGCAATTTGTCATATCTCAATGAGTTGGAGAATAGTATTTCTGACGTTTCGTAACCTAATGTTAGTTAGTTCTCCAGAGTAAACAAGTAACAGACATTAAATTGACACAAGTTTAAATGATAATTAACCCTCCAACGAAAATGTGAATTATGATGGTGTACTCATTATTACTCACTGTGACCCGTTGTATTCTTTCACTTACGTATATGTAATGAAATTACCTTTCGGCCCAAATAACGAACGTATTTGTAACCACTCCACTGACTATTCCATGGTCCGTTTGTGGACATGGGAACGTTGAAATTTAAGTAGTTGTTCGATTATGCGACGAGATCAATTGTGCAATGCGTAATTTTTATATAACTGATGAATCATGCACTTCACTGACAGCATCATTCTATCGTCAATGTATTCCTGTCATATCAGTTCACAGTCATCTGTCATGACACCATAATCCATCTGTAACTGTAAAATTATATGTTGAACAAATCTAGGTGTATTTAGTTTTTTCATTATAACCGAGACGAATAGTTATTTCATCTGGACAATTCACACTGGATTTCAGTGTAGATGAATTGTAGAGAGATTAGACCAGTAAAGCATCGGAATATACAACAGTCATAGTTCATTTTTCACGATACGAATGTGCTATAAATGACGAAGCTATGAATGTACTTTGTTCTTGAAACTCCTCAATATGATAGTCATCCTTTTTTATCAAGTTCACTCGAAAGGCAGTGAACATGCCCATTAAATTAATAATAGTGATAACTGTAGTAACATATCTGACAAACCACTGAGGAACATCAATGTAGTGAAGAACAGTGAGGTGAACTGTATTTATGGAAAAAGTAATTGTATGGTACATCTAAATGCTGAAGAGGTGGTAAGATTAGTGACATTCAATCTCTGTATCACATCACCATCCATTTGATCATATGTATTCTTCAAATTCATAAGTCAGATAGTGGAAGACAGATGAAAATAGTGTAAGCTAGACGATGGTGATATGAGTATACTCTATCAGTGTGTCGATTCTCTACATTTTAAGGAGATAACCATGTCTGTTCCAGTCATCATTGTTCTTTCCTAAACTAACCACTTCATTCGAGATTATGTGACATCAGATGAATCTTTGGGTAATGTTGAATTCATTCATTTCAGATGATTCCAATTGTCACTTCAACATGATGTATTTTTACTCCTCGATAAGATATGTGTGAATTTAAGTTTACAAAAAGTGAACAATGTCATGATGCATTTAGACTAATTCAGTTGGATGGACATCACATAGCATTCTCAATCTTTTCAGTGAATACTCAACCAAATAAAATATTGTGCAATTTAATTTAAATGACTTCAATCTTAGTTACGTAGAATGAGTATGATACGTGAGCATATAACGACCAATGGTGTGACAACATAGCTCATATCACTCATTGAGTAACTAATATATGTAGACATACTGTGATTGAGGATATCGATGTCCACTTCAAACAACAACAACAAAAATCGTCAAAGAGCTTATAGATACAACCACATGAAACTGATAAATTCAATGTAGAAACAAGTGTGTCTTCAAAAAACTTACACTAGCGTGTATTCGTTACACTGTCATTGCCTATTGTTTTAAAGAGCATACTACAGACTACTTTATTGCATTGTACACATCAGACGTGTTTCATACGTTCTGATTATTATATATATAAATAAGTAAAAACAAATTCACACTTTTCATGGTTTCACTAGTAAATGGTGAAATGATATCCATCACTGGATATTTGTTCAATATGAGAAGATAATTTGTTCATGGCATTACTCTTGTCCACATTGTGAACTGTAGTTTACGTAATTATCCTCAACGTTGATTAACAATGATGAGACACGAATCACTGCATTTCTAAAACTTCGTAACGAGACTGTACTTATTGATTTACTAGATATAGAAATCATATCTTGCATACAAAATGTCCCCTTGATATTTTGATTGAACTCATATCTGACCGTTAGTTCAAGCTGACCATCAATCACGCCAAATTAGTGCAAGCGATCTCATTCTCAGATGATTATCTAACGGTCATTCAATTTGCTTACTCATATGATGTGATCTAGTTAATGTCTTACCGTAATATATCATACATTAATGCATGAGAAATTTACAAAATTATATGAAGAGCAATTTAGGGAAACTAACGTTATGTTACTAGTGACGCGCACACATACATACAAGTAGTTGAATGACCTGTTTTCAGATTAAGACAAATATTAACTTGTGACCTATTTAAAAAATTATATTGAGGACAGTAATCGTTACTTTCTTATTCTTTACATTACAGACTGATCTCAGTTAAACATCCACTCAAAACTATAAGGTGTTGGACTACAATTTAGTCTAATAGTAGAACTCCTCAGAGGTGTGCATCAAAAGTCTCATCGCTGGTTAAAGTTTTGAATGGCAGATTTTGTTGATAGCATCTAACCTCTACACTTCCGATCTGATATCCAACAACTTGCATAGTTAACTCCAGTCAGTTCTCAACATTGGGACAAGCAATAATGTTATTTACAAAAAAGAATAAACTGTACGGTTTCGCTTGTATAGATTGGTGAGACTATCTAGTTGAAAAAATGATATTAGTCTTAATCTGAAAACAGGTTATTCAACTACTTGTATGCATGTTTGCGTGTCACTAGTAACCTAATGTTAGTTTCACTAAATTGCTCTTCAAATTATTTTGTAAATTTGTCATGCATTAATGTCTCACATGTTCAGCTGATATTTTGATTACACACTCGATGGCCATTATGAGTCTAAACATATTAAAAATGACCTGAATGATTGAAACTCACGAATTCGTTGTGAAATAAAAGTATAAAAGCAAGTGGGTATGTGATCAGATGAAGAGAGGAGATACTCAATCTGAGTGTAAATTATTCAAATGTAAGTGGTTCAATTAGTGTTTCATTAACATTTTGAAATTTACCTCTAAACGACAAACTCAATCTGATGTATAATAAGACAGTGGTAGAACAGTGTAGAGTAACACTGCATGCAATTATTCTGTCAATCACAGTAATATTCTGCGCAAACATATACAGATAGACTAATTAAACAGGCCCTAACCGTTTAGATTTTTAAATGGAATCCAGTCGAATAACAAACCACATACCAATCTGTCGGCTCTCAATATCATTTACTAGACGATTTGTTGTTATTCTGATAGTTGCTCTGTCCAAACACATATTATCCTTGTGAGAGCTTGCTGATAAATTAATCCACTTGAATTGAACCTCTGAATGTTCGAAAGTCGATCAGTCGCATGGTTTGGTGAATTTGCCATCTGGAGTCCAATTGGTTGAAAAGCAACAGTCAAACTTCCACGTTTTCGTCGATTCACGATATCACATGACCGTCATTTCCTGTTATTACTGATAACATCTGATAACATCTAACATCAAACCATCCGCGATATTGCGCGACAATCTCAACCTATGTTGATAGCACATTTTCAAATAAACTGCAATTTTAATTCTATTTTATCTTACAGATAAATAGTTCAACTACATTCTAAACATTTTCAATTCAGAATGATAATGAAATACATCTCTGTTGTCGTCTTAATATTTACAACTCTAATGCTCAACACTTACAATGCTAAGGAAGAGAATTCATTAGAACCAACATCGATTCTATTCAACTTCACTGATCCCCAAACCACTGCATTTGAAAATTGGATTGAGGTATCAGATGCAATTCTAATCGGAGGGCGATCTAAAGCTACAATCGTACGACTAAATGGAACGGTTAATGTTGCTTATAAATATAATGTAACTAACATTATCGTGTTTAGAATTACCAATCGGCATTATTGTTCTATCTACTCAATCCACGAGAAAATGGATCGAGTTTCGCTGGT